TACGCAACACTCTAGTCTTATTCTTTCTCTTTCTCTTTCTCTTTCTCTCTCTCTCTGTTTCTCTCTCTGTCGTTCTGTCTGTCTGTCCGTCTCTCTCTCTCTCTCTCTCTCTCTCTTTCTCTCTCTCTTTTTTTTTTTCTTTCTCTTTTTCTTTCTGTTTCTCTCTCTGTTTCTCTCTGTCTGTCTGCTTGTCTGTCCGTCTCTCTCTCTCTCTCTCTCTCTCTCTCTCTCTCTCTCTCTCTCTCTCTCTCTCTCTCTCTCTCTCTCTCTCTCTCTCTCCCTCTCTCTCTCTCTCTCCCTCTCTCTCTCTCTCTCTCTCTCTCTCTCTCTCTCTCTCCTCTCTCTCTCTCCTCTCTCTCTCTCACCACCTCTCTCTCTCTCCCTCTCTCTCTCTCACCACCTCTCTCTCTCTCACCCACCATGTCTCTCTCACTCACTCACTCACTCCCAAGTTTTACACCGAAAGTGGAACTGGCCAACTTTGTCACAAGTCTGCCTCTCGTCTTTCCAAACGACTGGTTTCTGTTTACTTGAGCTTTATCTATTTATCTATTTATTTCATGTATGTATCAGTATCATCCTATATCCCATTTTCATTTATTTTAGATTATTCTGTTGCTGTTTTTTTCTCGTTCTTTATCCCTTTATTCTGTTGTCTTTTCAAGCTATAAATTTCCATCTATTCTTCATTTTCGCTTTGCATGAACAAGACCAGTGTAGTTCACATGTAATTTCGTGGCGAGAGAGAAATGAGACCAGATATAAGTTAGATTAAAGACCTACTTATTAACTCATCGTTAAGTATTAAGTATTAAGTGTTCTATATAATTCTCGTGAAGAGGGTGAGGCGAATCCGTGATAGAAACCAGGTGGTGAGAACAAGAGCAGATTATGAAGTTTAATATTCAAATTCCGAATCCTCTGTTCTATGATAAACCACAATGCATTTCTTGAGAGAGAGAGAGAAAGATAGATATATAGATAGAGAGAGAGATGAGAGATGAGAGATGAGAGATGAGAGATAGAGATAGAGATAGAGATAGAGATAGAGATAGAGATAGAGATAGAGATAGAGATAGAGATAGAGATAGAGATAGAGATAGAGATAGAGAGAGAGAGAGAGAGAGAGAGAGAGAGAGAGAGAGAGAGAGAGAGTGAAAAATGCCTTTAACTCGAAAGAACAAGACGTAAATTAAGAAAAGAGAGGTTAGAGCAAAATATACATATTGATAAACTCCTTCAGGATTGTTGTACAGAGCCAATATAATCCCTAAAAATGCATAGAAATTTAGATAAGATAAAAAAAAAAATCAATAAGCTTTAAGACCAAGTGATGCTAAAGATATTTTTAGACGTTTATTAGCAGTTTGTTCATGGGAGGTATTGTTTAGCAGAATTATTATTATTGATGTGAATATACATACATTTATATGTATATATAAATATAGATAGATACAGATAAAGATAAAGATATATACAAATATATCTACATGTGTGTGTTTGCAATATATATGTGCTTGCCTCCCTCCTTTCTCTTCCCCCTCCCCCTCTCCCTAACCCCTCTCCCCTACCCCCTCTACCCCTCCCCCCCCCCTCTCCCTTCCCCCTCCATTCCCCCTCTACCCCTCCCCCTTCCCCCTCCATTCCCCTCTACCCCCCCCCCCTTTCCCCTAACCCCTCTCACTCTCTCCCCCCCCCCCCCCCCCTACAGACTGCGAGACGGAGCTGAAGACCACAGGAGGCGAGCTGAAGTCCCCGTATTACCCTGATATTTACGGTTCGAATGTTACGTGCCGATGGATTCTCATCCCCCCCGCCGGCCACCTCCTCCACGTCCTCGTCGCCAGGTTGAGACTCGACGCGGGAGATACGTTGCAGGTTCGTCCTTGAGGGTGGGTGTGGGGGTGGGGTTGGAAGGGGAGGAGGGATGGGGGTGGGGGTGAGGGAGGGAAGGATGGGGGAAGTGGGTGGGGAAGGAGGGGGGGATGGGAGGAGAGTGGGGTTGGGAGAGAAAGTGGGTGAGAAGAGGATTTTTTTTTTTTTTTTTTTTGTGTGTGTTTCTCTTGGTCTCACTTTCTCGCTCGCTCGCTCGTTCTCTCGCTCACTTTCTTTTTTTCTCTCTTTCTCTTCCTCCTTTCCTTCCCTCTTTCCCCCCACGCACTTTTCTCCCTCCCTTCATCTATCTATCTATTTGTCTATCTGTATATCAATCTATCTATCTCTCTTTATATATATATATATATATATATATATATATATATATATATATATATATATATATACATATATATATATATATATATATATATATATATATATATATATATATATATATATATATATATATATATATATGTATATATATACACATATATATATATATATATGTATATATATATATGTATATATATATATATATATATATATATATATATATATATATATATATATATATATATATATATATATATATATACACACCCACCTACCTCTCCACCCATCCTTTCTCTCCTTCTGTCCTTCCCTCTCTCCCTCCCTCCCTCCTCTTATCCCCCTCTCCCCTTCCTGCCCTCCCTCCCCCTTCCCCTTCATCTCTCTCTCACCTTCCCTCCTTCTCTCCCTCTCTCTCTCCCTTCCCCCTTCCCTTTCTCTCTTTCCCTCCTTCCCTGCTTCTCTCTCTCCCTCCCTCCCTCCCTCTCCCTCCCTCCCTCCCTCCTTCTCTCCCTCCTTCCCTCCTTCTCTCCCTCTCACTCTCTCTCTCTCTCTCACCTTCCCTCCTTCTCTCTCCCTCCCTCCCTCCCTCCCCCTCCTTCTCTCTCTCCCTCCCCCTTTCATTCTCTCCCTCTCTTCTGTCTCTCCCTCCTTCCTCCGTCACCTAATCTCGCCAAGATCCTCTCGTGATCAAAGGATACACATTTTCAGGCATCAAGTCATCTGCATGGTAAAGAGTCGCGTGAGCTTTGCCTCGCCGGGAAGAGAAAACAACGGAAACCTCGTGGACTTTTATATTATTTTTTAATTTGATTTTGTTATTATTGTTGTTGTTATTATTGTTATTATTATTGTTATTATTGTTATTGTTATTATTATTATTATTATTATTATTATTATTATTTATTATTTTGTCTCCCCTTTTCTTTTTTTCTATTATCATTATTATTGTTGTTGTTGTTGTTGTTGTTGTTGTTATTGTTGTTATTATAGTTATTATTATTACTATTATTGTTATTATTATTATTATTATTATTATTATTATTATTATCATTTTGTCTCCCTTTTTATCTATTATTTTCTTCTTTTCTTTTTTCTTTATTTTTTTGCACCATCCCTCCCTCCCCTCTTGTTTTTTTTTCTATCCTTTTTCATTCTTTTCCCCCTTCTATTTATCCTACTTTATTTATTTATTATTATTATTTCTTTCCTTTTTTTCCCTCCCTCCTCCCTCCTTTCTTTCCGTTTTTTTTTTTTTCATTCTTTTTTTTTCTTTTTTTTTCTTTCTTTTTTTTTCAATGTTTCGAGATTAGTGTAGGACTCTCATTCAATCGGCTATTGACTGAATTGGACTGAATATGTAATTAACTCATTTTTTATCGGTTAAAGTTTAATTAGTCGTGATAGATTATATTTCTTGTCTTTCCTTTTTATTATCGATATTTATTCTTTTTTTTTGTGTATTTATTATTCTTGGAGTTTTTTTTATTTGTATTTCTTTTGTCTTTTATATTATAAATGTTATTTCATATTTCTTGAATTTTATTATAATTTTTTTTTTTCATTATCGTTGATTAATGTTTATCTATTTATCATTACTTTTCCACTTCCTTTTTCTATTTTGTTTCTATTCTTCTTCTATTCTTGAAAGTGACTCTTATCTACCTATTACCCCCATTCTCTCATTCTCCCTCTTTATTTTATTCGTTTTTCTCAATCCTCACTTTCATTTCTCATTTTTCTCTTTATTCATTTTTCTCAATCCTCACTTTCATTCCTCTTTCTCTGTTTCTCTCATTTTTCTCAATCCTCACTTTCATTTCTCATTTCTCTCTTTATTCATTTTTCTCAATCCTCACTTTCATTCCTCTTTCTCTCTTTTTCTTTGACCAAGGAATCAGACCTATTATCCACATTCTCTCATTCCCTCTTTATTCTATTCATTCCTCATTCCTCATTTCCCATTCTCACCTTCATTCTTCCTTTCACTGACCAAGCTATCGGTCTCCCAAAAGGATTTGAAAATTATTCCTGTCTACTTATTATCACTATTAATCTCATCTTCCTCATTATCTTCTTCTCTCACTCTCATTCTCCTTTTCACTGGCCCTTCTTTATACTCTCCCTCTCTCTCCCTCATTCTCCCTCTCACTGGTCCCTCATTACCCTATCCCTCCTCCTCATTCTCCGTCTCACTGACCCCTCATAATCCTCTCCCTCTCTCACCCTCCCTCTCCCTCTCCCTCTCCCTGACCCCTCATTCTCCTCCTCTCCCACTCTCACCCTCATTCTCCCTCTCACTAACCCCTCACTCTCCCTCTCCCTCACTCTCCCTCTCCCTCACTCTCCCTCTCCCTCACTCACCCTCATAATCCTTTCCCACTCTCGCCCTCCCTCTCCCTCTCCCTGACCCCTCATTTCCCTCTCCCTCTTTCACCCTCACTCTCCCTCCCTAACCCCTCATAATCCTCTCAAACTCTCACCCTCCCTCTCCCTCTCCCTCTCCCTCTCCCTCTCCCTCTCTCACCCTCATTCTCCTCTCCCACTCCCACTCTCCCCCTCACTCTCCCTCTCCCTGACCCCTCATTCTCCTCTCCCTCTCTCACCCTCCCTCTCCCTCTCCCTCCCCTCATTACCCTCTCCCTCTCTCACCCTCCCTCTCCTTCTCCCTAACCCCTCATTTCCCTCTCCCTCTCTCACCCTCCCTCTCCCTCTCCCTCTCCCTAACCCCTCATTTCCCTCTCCCTCTCCCACTCTCACCCCCCCTTCTCCCTCTCTCCCTAACCAAG